TTTGATGACGTAGATCGCTCCTGGAGCCATCGTTGATTGGTTGAGGCGAATGGCGCTTCCTGCTCCAGAAAGTTCCTGAAAGTTGACGTCACTACAGGCGTTTGTGTACACGTTATTGCCGCTGCTGTCACGTGACGAGGGACTGTACTGACCAATGGGAGCAGGGGTAGAACTAACCAAAGAGTTGGTGACATTCTGGCGGCAATGCCAGGAGTACGTCACTCCCTGGTAGCAGCTGTAGGGAGGGTCGAGGGTAGCTTCGAAGAGAGCTGGCTCCTCGGCAGTTCCTACGATTCTGAGATAGTCCCCAGTAATTTTAACGGTGCCAGGATCAGGGCCTAAAGCAGGACGTAATTAGGAACATAAGTCCTTCAGTGTGACATAGCTTATCATCACTTACGATAGAGGAAGTTTAAAATCTTGCCTCCGTTACAAACCACGCCGAGATATTCTTAAATACATGTATATGCAGCTTTGTGATTATATACAAAGGACCAAATAATACTAATAGGGCTAAACTTTATATGAAGACTATACTTACTAAGGACCGCTTTGATGAAACCCCACAATGAAAAGATGGAATAATCAAATTGAAAAGGTACGTTTACGGCTACCTTGGCAATGTGTTATTTAGTACCTTCCACTAATTAAAGCAAACAAACAAAACTAGTTTTATTTTGTATAAGGCCGTGATTGTTATGGGTTCACCACACCACGAAGTGGTGGTGAACCCATATTGCTTTTTCTGATGTTTCTTCTTCTCCTTCTCCTTCTCCTGCCATTTTTTAAATGGATTCAGCTTCTTCATTTTAGGGCCTAAGGTCCTGGAATTTGGTATGGAGGTACAGTGGGCAAATACCCCTAGGCGTTTTTTAAATTTTTGTGATACAGGCTTTTAGAATGGTTTTATTTGAGTTTTTTGGCTGTGTTATAGCAAATGTATTACTGTGTTAGTGTGCCGTGTTTACCACGTCTGGGCATGAGTCATCACAATGGAATGCAGGGCATCAACCAATAGGCATGCAGCTTTCCTCTATACTTCTTGCTGATTGGCTGTTGGGATATAACTTGATTAACACCTGCACAGAGCATTTCCACCTGCACAGAGCATTTCTTGCTGATTGGCTGTTGGGATTTAACTTGATTAACACCTGCACAGAGCATTTCCATACTGACAGTATGTCTTTATTCAAGTGTTTTGGTAGGTATTTCAAGCTTTTCTGCTCCAGCATTGGAATGCGGGGCATGAACGTTTTTTTTTTTTTGAAAATCAACAGTTTGCATTATGCAATTAAAAATCCTAACCAATAAAGTAGGGAATAGCTATCCAACTGTTGTTTTAGTTGTATGTTACTTCATATTATAGTTATATCAATGTAAATCATTGTTTTCCCTTGTGTTTCTCATTCTTTCCCTGCCATGTCGTAAAATGTGGTGAACCCATCGCTGTATTTGCTCCAAAGCAAATATTGGCCTTTCTAGTTTTCTCCTGCTTTTCGCCAGGATTAAGTAGACTTTCATCAAATGTGTTTCTGGAGTCAAAACAAGCAAAAAACAGGAATGTACTGAATGTAATGAATTCAGTAAGAAGAGCGGAACCAAAATGTGTACATCCTAAAATGCACAAATTATCTTAGGGCTTTTCCGTAATGGATGTAAAAGCCATGTACTCTTACAGGGCAGCGATCAATATCCTATCGTATCGTATCTCAATACATAACAACTATTTAGAAATAAACAATGGACAATGAAAAGCACACATTGACAATACAGTCCGACCTCAAATTGTGCATGTAGTACAAAATTCCCGGATTTTTACACGGCACAAGGTATCTCAGTTCGGATATCAAAACGTTACGTTAGCCTAAAGCATTTCAACGAGTGTGCATACTGCATTGTCACTAAGCAAAATGTACCACAGTGGGAAAAGCACATCAAACAATATCGTAATAAATCTATGTCGATTGATGTAGCTGAATCCTGCTTATCAACCAAAAAATCGATTACATGAACAGGCTCAGCACAATACTAATTTCGGCTGGAGGAAGCCACACGCCCAGAGTTGGCACCTGGGGGTCTAACTTATCTCTCGATTTATCTAAAAAATTTATCTCTCAAAGTGTCCATGGTCAACGTTTAGGAGCCGAGGAGCTACTAATACTAGGCCTCTATACTGCCCCTGGCAACAGTCTGGCACCCAGGCTATGGATTGCAGGAACAATGGTCAATCTGCCCCCTCTTCATATTCGTCCTTCTTCCACCCCCACCTCCACATACGCCCTTTCATTATTCTACTTGACTACAGTTAACCTATTACTATATTGTTCATCTACAATTGATGAATGCAGTAATAGAATATTATGATATTAGACATGTTCTAGATGTGTACTTACATGGAGTTGTGCTTGGTGTTGGGCTTGGAGCTAAAAAATTGGTAGAGAAATATAATTTAGAAAGGCACCTGGTATATAATTGTACAGAAAACATCTCTGAAACGTCTGCATCTACCATAAACAACTTAACGTTTGATTGGTAAAATTATTGTAACCGATTAGGAAAGAAATGTACAAAAATCAAAGACATTAATAATAAATTGCCAAGTTGTTCTGGCCAGTGTATGTTTGCGAAGTATATATAGTGACCAAAGGCACTTACGTTAGATAATTATTTCAAAGATTGACCATAGGAATAAAGAACTATGGATTATTATTACACCTTATCTTTCTCTATTGACCTTAATATATTATATATGTATAATATATATAGTATGTAATAGACGATTCTTCATCTCAATTCAATCAACAGTAAGAAATTAAGCTAAGACTGCGATACATTAGGCCATGACGATTTGATTATATGGGAACTCCACAACTGATTCGATATTTTAGCAAATAAAGAAAAGTTTCCTTCATTGTATTCGTGTCATCGTAAAAGTCTTCGTGGTCTTGAAGGTTGAGCAAATAACTAAACACACAGAGTATGGTGTCACGAATAACATTTGATTAGGGCATTCCACGACTTAGTGTCGTTTTCCAGTATTTTTTTTTGCAATATACGGCACACTAGTGTGCAGGTGCATAGCAGATGAGGAAAGGATGCATATAGAAGTCTTCGTCGACAACGATGGACAACCAAGATACGGCATGAATTTGCTCATTTTGCAGCTGCTTTTTACGATTTGCAGTATGGTCAAAATCTGTTTTTAAGAAACAAACGGCTGAAAATTCATGCCCGCTCAGATGTTATCGATATAGAAAGTTTATTGCAAATACTTGCCCGGGGGCTAATTGCAGTTACAAACAACATAAGAAAGAAAATACAGTGGTATGTGAGACTATATCTACATGTACGTCTAGCATTATACTATATTCTACAACATACATGGTACTAGTTTTACTGGGTTTGACTTCTTCTTTTTAGGCAATGGAAAACGAATTTACCCAGTTCTATAATATGTGGGTTCTTTGATTTTAGTAGTAATTTTTTTGTGGTAGGGAATGGTGGGCAAGTAAGGGAGCATTTTGGACACGGTGCTAAATAATTGCTTTCTGATGTCGTCATATAATGGACAGTTAGAGATGAAATGAATTAATATATATAATCAAATCAACATGGCCTTAACCTCCTGTAAAATTACAGACATGTTCTACATGTATGTACACTTACATGATGCCGGTGTTGGAGTCTGCGTCACGGTTTGTCGAATATGAAACCCACTCAACAGAATCAATAAAGCTGACACAGTCACAGTCTTCATGCTTCTTTGGTCCTGTTATTCCGGGAAGTAGTTATGTTATTTTGTATCCTGTACAAACTGTTCTTGCATTGCTAAGTGATGATATGCCATGCAATGCTTTAATGAATTTGTATATATCTTTACATCGAATCTTAATATACAGCAAACATTCACGTTTTTTTGAGCGTCCTTTATTCCCTTTCATGCCCGTAGCGGGGGGGTCGAGGGGTTCGGAAGAACCCCCTCCCCCCCACAAGGCTGAAAGGTCCACTTTTTGGTCCACATTTTACGTAAAGGTCCAAGATTTTTCTTGACAAGATGGACTGGAATCGTAGAAAAACTGCTCCTTTTGTCATTGAATAAAAATTTATCTGATTTTTTCTTGGAAATCCTTTCAAAAATGCACGAAATGCCATTTTAGAAGGTTCATTTTTCAAAATTTTCCGGG